ACTTACTTCTAAAAATTGATTTGGAAAATTCGTTCTTTTTATCTTTACAAACAACAAATACAAACACAATTCACTTCGAAGTGATATCAAAGCAAAGTAGGTTAATATTTACATATACTCAATGAACGGAAGCACTTTTAACACACGGCAAACATAAAGGTTGAGCAAATAACATTCAGGTGTCAGCAGCAGTGGCAGCAGTGTTGTCAATGTTGCTAAATGTCAATTTCGGTGTTGCTGAATTTCAAAAATAGAAAAATCGTGGTTACATTGAGGTGGTTCGTTTAAGGAAATGAAAAAAAAAAATCATAAAACAAGGTTTACACCAAAGAAAAAAAATCCTATGAATGGGAAACACAAAATATATTTAATTTCTATTTGTGTTAATCAAATTTTGGGTAGTTATCTGTAAATTCCATAATTTCTTTTTGAAGTTATATTTTCAAGCAAATTTAAAGCAAAATTGAGTTGGAAAAGATATATTGCATTAAATTTATTTTTGGTCTGTTTCTGTTTTGGTCTGAAAGAATCTACTAGTTTGGAAAATTTTTTCGATATCATAAACGAAAAATCGGCTACCGTACTTTTACATTCTGGAAGTTGTGGAATATACCATTTATGTGTGGTCTTTTGACCAATATTTAGAGGGTTTCCTTTTTTTTTGTAAGTTTAGATATATTTTTCTTCATAAAATACTGATGTTCTTATTCCTCTGCGCTCGTATATCTGAGTCATAGTTCCTTCGCTACATATAATTGCCTGTGTGATACCATCACCATACATATAAACATGATCGTCAAATTAAACGGTATGCCAACTATTGTGTTTTACATTTTTTTTCCTAATTATTTCAATTAATTTGCAATTACACAATTACCTTTTGTTTTTTTATTTTTGCGATTTAACGATTATAAATGAATAAAAATTAAATAAAATTGAGAAAATTATTTTAATTCTTCTCGAGAGAAATTTAATATCAATAAACTTGCATGCTAGGAAATGTAATGAGAATTTTATTAAATACTTGTTTTGAATAAATAAAGTAGGGATGACAAATTTTGATATTGTCAGAGGCAACAATATTTTTTTAACATGGATGAGCTGTGTAGAGTTTTTTTAAACTGATTTTTATGCAGTAAATTTTAAGAGGCGAGTCCATACTGATCCTTAATAGAAAAATATACAAAAGTAAAAAAGCTGTAAGTTCGGCCGGGCCGAACTTTGAATCCCCTCCGCCATTTGGAACGAATTTGGCAATTCTCAAAATAATAACATCCGTTAAAAATTCTTAAAATTCCGAATGTAGCTGTTCCATTAGGGTCTATACGACGACATGGACCTGCATAGGTAACTTTTGTCATAAGCCATTACAATATTCCAATGCGAAACTTAAAAAAAATCGGTGAATAATTTAGCTGAAATCATCAAAATACCGAATATCGGGAGGTGCCGTTATATGGGGGCTATACGAAGACGTGAACCTGCACAGACAATTTTCTGTCATAGGCTGTAGTATCCATAACGAACTTCAAATACCAAATATGAAACATTTCCGGTGAAAAATATCGCCGAAATCATCAAAATACCGAATATCGGGAGGTACGTTATATGGGGGCTATACGAAGACGTGTACCTGCCCAGACAATTTTCTGTCATATACTGTAGTATTCATTTCAAACTTCAAATACCAAATTTGAAACAATTCCGATGCATATTGTCGCTAAAATCATCAAAATACCGAATATCGGAAGGTACCTTTATATGGGGCCTATACCAAAACGTGGTCCTAAATAGCCCATTTTCAATACCAAAAGTCGTACAGACATAATATATATTTAGTAAAATTTTATCAATCTGCTTCAATTCATTCGGAAGCTAGAGTGATTTCCACAGACGGACGGATCGCTAAATCGACATAGAATTTTATGCTGATCAAGAATACATGTACTTTGTGGGGTCTAAAATGTATATTTCGAGGTGTTAACTTTATATACCCTCCATACTATGGTGGAGGGTATAAAAATCTCAGTCGCAGTTTGCCGACAAATGTTGTCCGATTCTTTAAATATATTTTGACTTCTGTTAAGATTATTCAAATTGTTGACCATCTATGGAGTAGGTTCCGAAGGAATGGGCCAATATTGTCCATTTCGTGTCGGACCACAATAAATATGATATGAATATTGCGGCACTCCAGGTTTGGATTATTGACCCTTTGTGGGGGAGGTACCAGAAGGAGTGGACCGATAGATCCCATCTTCACAAGAGATCTTGTGTTAGTAGAAATAATGGAGATGTGTGAAATATTTAGGGAACCGAATGTTTATTTCGGATTTTATAATCGTTCTGGTTATTTAAAACTTTGACCCTTTGTGGGGGAGGTACCAGAAGAAATGGTCCGATCTGTACCATTTTTATAACAGATCTTGTGCTGATGGGAATATTGAGATGTGTCAAGTCTGAATGGAATCGGATGTTCATTTCGCGTTTTATGACCATCAGGGATATTTAAAATTTTGACACTTTGTGAGGGAGGTACCAGAAGGAGTGGACCGATATATTCCATCTTTACACCAGACCGTGTCTAAATAAAGATAGCGTGTTGTGTGTAATTTAAATACAATCGGATTCTTACATTACATTTTAAAAGAGCTATAAATATTCAAAAATGTTGACCCTCATTTGTGAGGTACTTGATAGAGTGGACCGATATTGTCCATTTTCACACTGGATCCAGCACTGATGCAAATATTAGGATTTGCAAGGTTGGAGCCCAATCGGATTATCCTTTCTCTTGCTGTGCAGTAAAATCTATTTTTTTTAAAATTTGACCTTTTTGGGGGGAGGTACCAGAAAGAGTGGACCGATATATTCCGTCTTCACACCAGAACTTGGGTTCGTGAAAATATTGTGATGTGTGTAATTCGAAGACAATCGGATAATTAAATCATATTTTATGGGAGTTATTACTTAAAAAATTATCTCTTTGTGGGGGGAGGTGCTTGAAGGAGTGTACCGATGTTGTCCATTTTCGCACATAACTTAGCCAAGTTTGGACCAAATCGGGTACTCCCTTCGAGAGTTATCGTGCGCACCAGTTAGCCAGACGGACGGACATCGCTAAATCGACTCCTAATGTCTTGAAACGGATTTGGTCCAAAAAAACCTAGGATCTAAAACAGTTATAACGATGAGCCACGTTTTGGCCGTATCAAATGATATATAGCCATATGGCTGGGGGTATAATAATTTAACCTCCTCTGTCTGAAGATGCCAAGGGCGGTTTTAAAGATTAAAAAAAATATTGCATGATATAATTTTCAAGCATTAAATTATATGGACCGTAATATGAATTAAAAACAAGTAAAAAAACAGCTAAGTTTGACCGGGCCGAACTTTTAATACCCTCCCCCATTTGGAAGGAACTTGAAGATTTTCAAAAAAAAACTTCCCGAAACTACCACTTAAATGAAAACTTTTATATGGAGACTATACGAAGACGTGGACCTGCTTTTGCTTTTGTCATAGGCTGTAGTACCCATTACGAACTTCAAGTACCAAATCTAAAACAATTCTGGTGAATAATGTCGCTAAAATCATCAAAATACCAAATATCTGGATGTAACGTTATATGGGGGATATACGAAGACGTAGACCTCCATACGATTTTTTTTTCATTGTAGTAACCAATAAGATCTCCCAACACGAAACTTGAAACGAGTCCGATGAATAATGTTGCTGATATCATCAAAATACCGAATATCGGGAGGAGCCGTTCAATGGGGGCTATACGAAGAAGTAGACCTGCATACGAATTTTTTTCATAGGCTGTAGTAACAAATAAGATCTCCCAACACGAAATTTGAACCGATTCCGATGAATAATGTTGCTGAAATCGTCAAAATACCGAATATCGGGAACTACCCTTTTATGGGGGCTATACGAAGACATGTACCCATTACGAACTTCAAATACGAAATAATTCTTGTATATAATGTCGCTAAAATCATGAAAATTCCGAATATTGGGAGGTACCGTTACATGGGGGCTATACGAAAACGTGGACCGATATAGCCCATTTATGAACTTAATCTGCCTTCTGGCAAAATATGCATATACGCAAAATTTTAGCCTTCTATCTCAATTCGTTCGAAAGATTATTACAACAAACAGACGGACATCGCTAGATCGTCTTAGAATTTTACGCTGATCCAGAATATATATGTATACTTTGTAGGGTCTATTATAAATATTTCGAGTTACAAATGGAATGACAATGTTAATATACCCTCCATAGAATGGTGGAGGTTATAAAAACTATCTCATTCAAAACTATCCTATAGCTCTTAAAAAATACCCTTTATACAGATTTATTTATTATGACCTCAAGTTTCAAATTTAATTCCATTATTAGTTAAATTAATTTTTAATAACTTCAATCATTGTTCATTGCTGGAGTATTCGTGTAAGTAGACGAGAGTATAACAGTTTATAAAAATCAGTTATCAATCAAATCTCTTTTCATTCTCCAAAGTTTCATAAGAAAAACTGTTCTACATCATTTCAATAACCGGAAATTCTAAATACAATCCTTTTATGTGAATATTACGTGTGTTCATATCGAAACAAAAAAAAAACAAATAAAATCTGCATACCTCATCCAAAAGGCCTGCTTAAAATAGTTGGGAGCTTTGATATAAAAAAACGATGTGGGTTTGAAATTTCAAAACGTATTTTACATATGAAAATACTACTGTGTGTGTGTGTTTGGATGTGTATGTGGACGGATAGTGGACCGCCAGTCGATGATGTTTTTTTGTTGTTGTATAATTATTATTATTTCTTAATATGGTTATGTTGTTTAGAATAAAATAAAAACACCAACAACTATAACCAAAACAGATGTAACAATTGAATTTTTAATTGTTTCGATAAGATTTCATTGATTGTCGATTCTGATTTAACTAACAGCTTCTCTCATTCTCATTCTTTATTTTTAGATTCAGTCACTGAATAGAATAACTACACGATTATGAAAACCAATTGTCGACTGTAATCACTCAGCATCCCAACTGGAAACAAGTCAAATTTCTTAGCTTCGGCGGGAATTTATCCTCAAGAAGAAGAAGAAAAAGAAATAAATCATTTGTTTTTGGATGTAACAAGGATTCCAATTAGAATAAGGCCAAACAGCAATAGAGTAACGGAGAGAGCGAGAGACAGACAGAGAGAGAGAGAGTGTGTTTTGTGTGTTTCTGCTTGAGTAAGGAGATTATGTACCATGGCTCGCCATATAATGGCCGTTTGTGTGGTCTGCCTCCTGTGTGCAGATCACCTACCATGTGAACAACATGTTGAGACATTATTTCCTGGAAAAATGTCTTCTTTTCCACCTCCTCCCAATGGTGGTGAACACATTCACAACCCTGCCGGCTGGGAGCAAACACCCATGAATGCCGTTGTATATAAAAATAAGGATATAATCGCCACAACGAGTTATTCTGCCAAAACACAGTATCAACCACAACAACAGAATCCCACCACAGATGATAACGTATCTATCCGCACCTCACCCACATATATGGCCAGCACAACGAATACAAACGGTGGTGATAATAGCAATCGCATAAGAAAAAAACGTCATGCCGATCATGGCAAGGTATCCAGTGATGTTCAAATGCAGAGGCCCGAAATCACAGAGACATTTGTGCGCAGAATATTCAGTGAATACGGCAGCGGTGGTGATACAATAAATGTGGAAGATTTCCAAAGGATGTTGGAGAAATTGGGCCTGCATCAGTTGTTGCCGCAGAAATTTCTACAAAATCATGAGGATGATAGTGATAATGAAACCGTAAGTGAGAATATATAAAATATTTATAAAAAAATAATTTCATATTAATTTTGTTTTAGATATAAGCTTTAGGTGTAAGGATTCTTTAGCAACTTTGCTTGGGGGTGCTCTTTTCCTTGTGTTCGTTCTGAAACTATAGAAAAATTGGGAAATTTAACAGGAATATTGTCGATAGGAAGAAGAAAAGGAAGAAAATGGGTAAAAACTTCTCAGAAATCAAGTAAAGAATGCGTTCGGTCCCGGTCCAGCCTTCACAATGAGAAAACCAGTAAAAAAAGTCTTAAAGTCTGGCGGGTCCGACTTTATGATACCCTACATCACTTTGCTAATTTAGTAGAGCTCCGCATAACAATTAAAGTTTTTATAGGAGAAATCAATCATACACGCTATGATTATAATTATAATTTAAAGTTCAAAGGACTAAATATGCCGAAGCATTTGTATCGTTTTAATTCGGACTTGTATTGGCCTTTTGGTGCACAAATAATTTAAAATCGGATAAAAATATATAAAAAAAAATAACAACAATAAATATATATGGAAGCTATATCCAAATCTGAACCGATCTCGATATAATTTGGCAATGATATTTCTGAGCTGTATTTGATATATTTCCCTGAATAACGTTGTTACGGAGTGCATATTACGGCTGTGGGTAACAAATATAACAAATCGGATGAACAGTATATATGGGAGCTATAGCTATATCTGAACCGATCTTCACCAAATTTGACATACTAGCTTCTAGACTCAATTCGGTCGTAAGTGCCAAATTCCATCCCTTTTGGACAAATATTAGACGTTTGGTGCACAATAAAAAGTAAATCGTATGAAGTTATATATAGGAGCTATATCCAAATCCGAACCGATCTCGATAAAATTTAACAAAGGTATTTCTGAGCTGCATTTGATATATTTCCCCAAATATTGTTGTTACAGAGTGCATATTACGGCTGCGGAGGACCAAAATAACAAATCGGATAAACAATATATATGGGAGCTATCGATCTGAACCGATTTCGATCAATTTTAGCATACTTATTTTCAGGCCTAATTTGGTTGTATGTCCCAAATTCCATACTATTCGGGCTGATATTACACGTTTGGTGCACAATAAAAGGCAAATCGGACGAAGATATATGTGGGAGCTATATCTAAATTTTGACCGATTATCTCCAATGTTAGTAGGGTTCGTCCTTGGGCCAAACAAATTGTTTGTGCAAAATGTCATCTGGATAGGGCAATAAATGCGAACTGTACTTTGTTTACAAAAATACATGGACAGACGGCGGACGGACATGCATAAATCGACTCAGAATGTGACTCTATGCAGATCATCAAAAGGAACTATGGGTCTATCTCGTTTCCTTTTACCTGTTACAAACAAATACACAAAGACATAATACCCTGACCACTTTGTGGTGTAGGGTATAATGAGCTCTCCACAATGAGGAAATTACAAAATTAGGAAATATGTCCGAATGCACCCGTTTAATAAATTTTAACAAAAATAATGGACTATTCTCCGAGGCAATCGGAGCTTTCTATTTCATTCAATATAAAAATCCGTTTGGGTTCCAAAACCTTTCTGATTCTGCACAAATGGTGACTTGAATCGACAGCTCGAAAGGAAACGTAAGCATTTCTCACACAAATGGGTTTCAGTCAAAATAAAGGATGCTTTTTAAAAGCTATAGTAACGTTTTTCCATAAAGGAAAAACACATAAGATTCGGAAAATTTAGAAATCATTACTTGAATTGATAGGGTGATACAGGGTGAGATAAAAAAAACTGCAACAAAGTCAAACGTCATAATTTTTTACATTTTTTTTAAATGATTAACATTGTTCACTTAGGACTTTCGTATCCCGTTCATGCTCTCATCGACCCAGGTTCGGAGGCTTCGTTTATCACAGATAATTTACAAAAGCGCCATCAGTTGCCCACTCAGTCTATCTCTGCCACAATTTCTGGTGTAAATGGTTCAACATATGCCACTTCTGGTCCCAGCCTTCTTCCTCAGTCCAGGTCTTTATGACTGTGTTGGATTTCGCTGAGGAAGAATCTCTCCGCAGAACACTACTCCGGTTTTGGGAAAAAGACGACCTGCCCAAATTGAAACTTGTTTCACCATCGGACATGTTCTCTGAGAGGAACATGTTCTCTGAGAGGAACGTGACACGACGTCAATGCGAGATTCGGAGGGTCATTCCAGTCCGAATTTCCGCAAACATCGCAATTGGGGGACCCTTGTATTAGCTTTTTGAAATAGTTTGTCGGTCAGAAAATTCACTCTTTTGTATACCTTCGTAGATATTGTCGAGTTTAGTTCTAGCTCCTTTCTCGAATGTTGCTCTGCGGTATTTTGGCGTATTCCCTGCGAAGCGCTTGCTTGAGCTGATCGACACTTTGGTATTTTTTAGTGCCATCCTTGCTTTCCACAATACTCCAGACACAATAGTCCAACGGATTGGTATCCGGAGATTTTGGTGGACATTGTGGGGTGGCGCGTGCTGAGTGCGATGGTGGGTGCTGAGTCCTATTGGAATGTCCAAGGTCTGCGGTCAAAATGTTTGCCTGCCCAAGGCTTTAATACACCCTCCAGAATATTTTTGCGATAATATACGGCATTTATTCTGATGCCACGGTCGACTAATACGAGCGGAGAGCGACCATCGGCTGTTATGGCTGCGCATACCATCAGCACCATGGCCGGCGCTTGAGTTCTGGTGGCCAACCGAAGTTGCACATCTTCAGCTGACCTCTTTGGCAAGTAAACACGATCATTTTGTTTGTTTATAAACTGCTGGACAACGAATGTTTTCTCATCGGAGAAGGAGAAACCCCAATTCGACAGTTCACCACTTTCGGCCAAGCGAAGCAACTCTTTAGCTCTTTCGAGTCTATTTTCTTTCTGTTGCGGTGTTAGTTCTTGCACTTTTTGGAATTTCAATGGCTTTACACTGAGTTCATTTTTCAATATTTGTCGAATCGAATATTGCGATATGTTCAGCTCACGAGCCATTTTTCAGCCACTGCGGCGCGGGCTTCGATTAACTTATTTTTCGAACCATTTCTGCTGATGTTGCTGTTTTCTTCCGTCCACTTCCTTGACGTCGGGCTAATGTCCATCCATGTATTTTCCGATCCTCCTCGGCTTAGATAACGTTGTCTCTCAAAATGACCCCAGATTTGTAATCAATTACTATCACTCATTTCCCCAGTTGGATCAACCTCTCATTGAAAGGAATAGGTCGATATGATCCTTCTGGGAAATTTTAAGACTTGTATCGCTTTCCATAAGATTTGTGATTCTAAAAGGTTCTACAGATACGTAAGCCTCCTATAGACCATAGTCCACCTCTAGGAAGGATTCATAATGAGAAGACAACTAGAAGTTCCCTAGAGGACCTTTAGATGGTCTCTGTAAAAATTGTTTGTGTTGAGTTTCTCTCCATGGTGTTTTGACCATAAAATGTCTTCTTAAATAGGTTTAAACGGTACTTGAATCCCACGAAAAACTAGGTCTCTAACAATTTAGAATATCTTTAGGTTATAGAATTCTTGCGGAAGATCATCTATCCATAGATCCCTATTATACGATCTTTTAGCTATGAAATATAGCAGCATGGCAAATTTTGGTTTATACAGGACTTCTAGATGGTCCTCCATTAATTGGAAGGCTTTATTTTATCATAGCATAAATATTGGAGGCCTCTTTTATTGGGTATTCTAAAACTTTTAGGGGGTACCAGCCGTAGTAGACCTGAAGAAGTTTTACTTAGTGAAAATAATCTTTGTTTCCTTACAAGACAATGGACGACCTTAGAAGGTTTTTGAATATAAAAGTCACTGGAAAAGTTTTTGGAACAGTTTCCAAATACTAGCTGCACAATATTTAACACATTTTTCTGACAAATTGTGGCTCAGTCATTTTTGCGGCAGTTTTCTCATAACATTTATTTTCCTTCCTCCTTTTCTTACAGTGCATTAGAGACTCAAAGTTGATAAGCTATGTTAAACCTCACCCCTCTGCACATGAACATGATCATGATGATGCGGAACATGATGATCATAATCATCATCACGACCACCACCACCATCATGAAGAACTAGAAAGTAGAAATTGTTCGGATACATCTGAAGGTTGTGCACTGGCCCATACACATGTGGAACACCATGGAGATGAGGGCCATCATGGATATTTCAATTATACCCTTACACATGATGACATTGTTCATGTCTGTCCGGTTTTGTTATATCAGCTGACTTCCAATAGTGATGCCAACAACAAGGGATGCATAGAAAATGAAGTATTGTTGCAAATCGATGTGAGATCGCAGCATGTGGATCGTCCCAAGGAGGATATTATGTATGGTGAGTATGGAACTTATATAAGTTATTAAGTAAAAATAATTTTTAAATATCTCCTCCTCTCACTTTAATTTCAGTCTGGATCTATTCATTTGCCGCCGTATTTGCCTGCAGTATTCTGGGCCTGGTTGGTGTGGCCATAATCCCCGTTATGAACTCACGTTTCTACAAACACATTATACAGTTTCTGGTGGCATTGGCTGTTGGCACCATGACAGGTGATGCTTTGCTGCATTTGTTACCACATGTAAGTAGGAACATAGCACCCTGCAGTTTCACAATGAGTTACTAATTTAGAATATTTTTATTTTTTTTTTATTTTACAGTCTCTGGCTGGCCAAAGCGAAAGTAATATGATCTTCAAAGGCCTTACCTGTATGGGTGGTATTGTCTTCTTTTACATAACCGAACATGGCTTGACCATGGTTTCCGAATGGCGTAAAAGCATTGCCAAAAAAGAGACCAATAAACCCACCCGGGCCAAGGTAATGAGAGATCCCGACTCATCGCACAATAATTCGGTGGCCGGTGACAAGGTGTGCAAATCGAAATACAGTTCATATCCCTATTGTTATGATGAAATAGCAATGGATACCAAAAATGATGTTTGGCTACATTTGCCCAACAATAAAAATGTGGAGAATGTCCACAATGCGGCGACACGTAATGGCAAATTGGATTTGGATGCCGGGGAAAATGCCACACAATCATTGCTTTCAACATCGCAAAATAACTATGCACCACTTACGGATAGAAATCATCAGCATCATCATCATCAGGGACACAATCATTCTCATCAGCACCATCATAATGATCTGCAGCAATCATCACAAGCGAATAGCACCTCATCGTGTCAAAGTCACACCATACCCGACAGCAGTACATTGGCCACCGATTTAGATGGCAATGTGGTGGGTGATACAGCTGGCGCCGGTATTAACACTGGCGCCGCCAATTCAAATGGCAAAGATAATACGGTAACAGTTATACTAAGAGAACATGAATCCTCACACCATGGCCATTCGCATAAACATGGTCATGTCCATTCACCACCGGAATCGCTGAGTGCCGTTGTCTGGATGATCATTATGGGTGATGGGTTACACAATTTCACCGATGGCATGGCAATAGGTAAGTGCCTAGAGATTTTGTTTTTATAAAAATTAGACGTTTAGGGAACAAATTAGTAAATGTTTTTATATATATATTATTTATAGATGACATGGCAAAAGTCCTTCTCCATAAGGCTAAATAAGACCATTCTATCAATAGATGGTCTGTTCCAGAAATGCTAGAATGTAAACGTTTTACGTTCGATAAACGATAAACGATTTCCCTTTTTGATATCAAAAAAAAAATGGAAAGTTGGTAGATTCTTGCAGGTTCTTGTACAGGGCAATAGATAACTCTCAGATCTTTTATAAAAACAATATATTTAGGTTAAAAATAGTAAATTGTCCTCCATACCTAGATGGCTTTCCATTCAAAGAAAGACGTTGTTTTCTCATACACTGACCACAAAAATCATGTATTAGGTCCGCATTTAGAAACCCTATATATAACCATTTAACTGTAGAAAAAATAAAGCATTATTTACATACAAAACTATGAACGACGTCCCAAAGACCTCAAAAATATCTTCGTAACTAAGCACGCCTCTGAAAAGAACTCAAGCATTTACCTTCCTTTTTGGGCCTTTCAAATATACAAGGCTTTTACAGAGTCATAACCATAGAAGGCCACGAAAAGTTTTATTAAGTGTAGAAGATCTTTGTTTCCCGAATAGTTTATTTTATAACTAGGGAACTAAAATGGGTTCAAAATGCCACTTGAACAGTATTTGGCTCCTATGGCTAGAGAGGGTATATATCATTTGATACCAAAACGTTCCTCATTGAAATAACTGTTTTAGACCGTAGGTCTCTTTGGACCAAATTCGTTTCAGGACATTTGGAGTCGAGCTAGCGATGTAAGTCCGTCCTTCTGTCTATCTGGCTTTTGCGCACGATAACTCTCGAACAGAGTATCCGATTTGCTCCAAACTTGGTACATCGTAACATTATTATCAAACTTAGATCGAGTTCGGAGATGGGCAATGTTAGTCCCCTCCTTCTGGTACATCCCCAGAAAATGTCCAAATTTTCAAAGAAAATAATTAACTGCACAGAAAGAGAAACGATAATCCGATTTTGCTCCAACTTTGCAAATCCTTATATTTGCGTCAGTGCTACGTCAGGTGCGAAAATGGACAATATTAGTCCACTTAATCATGTACCTACTCCACAAAGGGTCAAAATTTTGAATAATTAGAACTCTCATAAAATGTGATGTAAGACTCCGATTGTCATCAAATTTCGCACATTCCAATATTTTTATTAACCCAAGCTCTGGTATTAAGGTGGAATATATCGGTCTACTCCTTCTGGTACCTTCCCCACAAAAGGTCAAAATTTTGAATATTCATGAAGCTCATAAAACTGGAAATTAACATCCGATTCCATTCAGACTTGGCACAACTCAATATTTCCATCAACGCAAGATATGTTATAAAAATGATAGAGATCGGACCAATCCTTCTGGTACCTCCCCCACAAAGGGTCAAAGTTTTGAATAACCAAAACGTTTATAAAATCCGAAATATGCATTCGGTTCTCTTCATATTTCAGACATCCCATTATTTCTACTATCCCAAGATCTACTGTGAAGATGGTAGAGATCGGATCACTCCTTCTGGTATCTCCCCCACAAAGGGTCAAAATTTTGAATATCCACGAAGCTCAAACAACTGGAAATTAAAATCCGATTCCATACAGACTTGGCACATCTCAATATTTCCATCAATACAAGATCTGATGTGAAGATGGTAGAGATCGGACCATTCCTTCTGGTACCTCCCCCACAAACGGTTAAAGTTTTGAATAACCAAAACGTTTATTAAATCCGAAATATGCATTCGGTTCTCTTCATATTTCACACATCCCATTATTTCTACTATCCCAAGATCTCCTGTGAAGATGGTAAAGGTCGGATCACACCTTTTGGTATCTCCCCCACAAAGGGTCAAAATTTTGAATACCCATGATGCTCATAAAACTGGAAATGAACATCCGCTTCCATTCAGACTTGGCACATCTCAATATTTCCATCAACACAAGATCTTTTTTAAAGATGATAGAGATCGGACCATTCCTTCTGGTACCTCCCCCCGAAATATACATCCGGTTCTCTTCATATTTCACACATCCCATTATTTATACTAACTCAAGATCTGTTGTGAAAATGGAATATATCGGTCAACTCCTTCCGGTACCTCCCCCACATAACGTTCAAGATTTTGAAAAACAAAACACTGAAAGAAAGCGAAATAAGCATACAATTCTCTTTAAATTTCACACATGCAAACATGTTAGATAACACAGGATCTGTGAAGGTGATATATAACTCTGAACCCCTTCTGGTACCTCACCCACAAAGCGTCACAATTTTCAATAGGTCTTCCAGCTACAGAAGTCATGTGGAATGTCATCTGAATATAGAGGCAGACCCTCTTGAACTATATACAAAACTATGTACGTCATGCTGACTGAATACCTCCATAGGTCTTCATAATAACACTGTGAGACAAAATGCATTGTTTTCATTATTTCGGGAAGAATGCAATAGATTATGAAAGTAGAGTAAATGTTACAGCGTTTTGAAAGTTTACATCGCAAATTAACCTCTATAATAGAGGGGAAAAGTTCCTACCTCTTCCACAGTTTTGGAAATGTTCGAACTTAGATTTCTTGAAATTCTTATGTTTTAGCTATACAGTGCCTTTTATGGGGAAAATCTAAGTTTCAAGTGAGTAAACAAAGGGTTGAGACTTGAAGCAACCAAATCTCGTTTTAAGTTTTGATCTACAACCCAATCATTTAATTTACACTCAAATGATATTCACAGAGTAGAGCCTCTTACCTGTTGAAGGTTTCTAAAAGACCATCTGCCAATTGAAAAGAGCTAGTCGTTTACCTGTTGAAAGGACAGCTGAAAGAATACCTGCGCAGTGTTTACCTCTATGGCGTTCCTATGGTAGCATTTACGTAATCCTCCTATCAGAAAATGCTATAAATTTTACGATTGGTTCCTAATGTCTTAATTACAGCCAAAAGATATCGTATGCATGTACAATGTGGCGCAAAAGTAAATTTCCGATATGGCTGATAAATTTCCGATGGGGGCAATCGTAAAAATTATAGCATTTTCCGATAGGATTACTTTTGCTCCACCTTGTATTAAGACCTTCTGTACAATGTATATATGTATGTAAAAAATCTATAACAGCTTGTTAGTCCAGTGAAGACACTAAAAATGTCTTCTATCCATAGAAGATACCTAAAATTTTACAGAATACCTATAGATATGTCCTATCAAAGAATTTACATCCCCAACAACTTTTATATTTAGCTTTGGTTTTATTTTTCCTTAAAATTTTATATTTTTAATTTTCTGTCTCTCTATTTTTTTCAGGCGCTGCCTTTGCCGAAAATCTTGCTGGTGGCTTCTCTACAGCATTGGCTGTATTTTGTCATGAACTACCGCATGAGCTGGGCGATTTTGCTATTTTGATAAAGGCTGGTATGTCGGTGAAATCGGCTGTCTACTATAATCTCTTGACGGGAGTCTTAAGTTTCATTGGCATGATTGTGGGTATTATTTTCGGCCAGTCACATGAGACGGCCCAATGGATGTTTGCAGCAGCTGCTGGTCTATTTATTTATATAGCTATGGTTGATATGGTAAGTCAAATGAAGAAAACTAATAGAACTTGACACCCATAAAGATGGAAAGGGGAAATTCGTTGGAATTATAGTAACGTGTTGTTATTTATTTTTTTATGAATGGTAGATGAGAATTTTAGGGTATGTTCCTGTATGACAATACGAAAGTCAAGCACAAATTCTTCTATTAGTGTTTTTTTTTTAATTAATAAAAATTAACAATTTTAAAAGTATCAGTCAGTTTTGTGGACAGATGTATACCCTCATTCAATGTTTGCTTATTTTAATATATTTTGACTTCTGTTATGATTATTCAAATTGTTGACCCTCTATGGAGTAGGTTCCGAAGCAATGGACCAATATTGTCTATTTTGTATAAGACCTAAATAAGTATGTTATAAATATTGCGACTTGCCAGGTTTGGACTATATTGGTTACTTTCTTCAATTTATATGAGATGTGTGATATTTTTTAGAAAACGTTAAAATGTGCATCGGGTACTAGATATAGTCGACCGCAGAATTCCATTTTTATACTTCATCTAATACAGAAAATGGGAAAAATTACAAGAAAATCAAACATTTATATCCAATTTTAAGCGAAATCAAATTTCATATTCATCTCAGGTTTCGAGTTGAGAGAAATATTTAGATATAGCAAATTTAAGTTGAAGTATTGAAAATTGTAATCCTTTGTGGATGAGGTACCAGAAGGGGTTGGCAGATATATATCATCTTCACAACAGATCTTGCGTAAGCAAAATGCTTATTTCACTTTAATTGTTTTTTTTTTCAAAATCTTGAAACCTATGTGGGGGAGGTACCAGAAAAAAATGTCCGATCTCTACCATCTTTATAACAGATCTTGTTTTGATGGAAATATTGAGATGTGCCAAGTCTGAATGGAATCGGATGTTAATTTCGTAATTTATAAGCTTCAAAGACATTCAAAATGTTGATCCTTTGGGGAAAGTACATTCGTTAAATATTGAAAAATGAGCCATTGAAATTCCAAAAAGTGCAAGAACTTATACCGAAACAGAAAGAAAATAGACTCAAAAGAGCTAAAGAGTTGCTTCTCTTGGCCGAAAGTGGTGAACTGTCGAATTTAGTTTTCTTCGATGAGAAAACATTCGTTGTCCACCAGTTTGTAAACAAAAAAAAAAAAAAAAAGATCGTGTTTACTTGCCAAAGAGGTCAGCTGAAAATGTGCACCTTCGGTTGACCACCAGAACTCAAGGCGCCGGTCATTGTGATGGTGTGGGCCGTCATAACAGCCGATGGTCGCTGGTTGTTGTTGTTGTAGTAGTAGTATATGCAAGTTTTTGCGGTTCCAGCTCCAGGTTTAGAAATTTGGCTACTTTAATGGACTGTAGTCAGAGATCTTCTGGAGAAGGTTGGGTAGGTTTGACTGTGCAATTAAAGAGGTGCAGCGTATTGTGCGGGCCTGTATCACACATCACATTCTGGAGGGTGTTTTAGAGACTTGGGCACGCAAACATTTTGGCCGCAGACCTTTGACATTCCAACAGGACTGAGCATCATCGAACTCAGCGTGCGCCATCCAAAAACGGTTACAAAATGAGGTTCGTCGCTTCATTTCCAGCGCACACTGGCCACCAAAATTTCCGGACACCAATCCGTTGCACTACTACGTCTGGAGTATTTTGGAAAGCAAGGTTAGCACTAAAAAATACCAAAGTGTCGATCACCTCAAGCAAGCGCTTCTCCGGGAATTGAACAAAATCCGGCAGCGCATGACGGTTTCATTGGCCGTGTAAAGGCCATAATTCGTGTCAATGGTGACCAATTCCAAAAAATCTAAACTTATTGACTTTGTTGCAGTTTGACTTTGTTGCAGTTTTTTTTTATCTCACCCTGTATGGCTATGGGTATAATAAAAATTTTAAAAACATGCAAGAGATGGGTGTTCTTTCGAGATTACTTTGGGATCGTCATAGAAAAATAGGTGATTGATTTTTCGGTATTTTCACATAGAACATTTTACAAAGTAGTCCACTTATGTATACCAATATGTTGAGCGACTCGATAATTCCAGTCCATAGGATTTCAGATCTATAGAAACTTAAACGTAAATTACGGTGTTGTAGGGTATCCCATGGTCGACCCCGAAAGATTGTAGCCTTTGCTTACTTGTTTGTTATTAATAATTGTTTTCTAATATTCCTATATAAACATGGTTTTTTATTTATACCCTCCTTCCTCTTCTTCTTTCAGATGCCTGAAATATCAGCCGCCCACAAATCTGTACAACAATTTGCACTACAAATCTTGGGCATGTCAAGCGGTGTATTACTTATGCTTTTAATAGCCATTTACGAGGGCGACTTAATGAATATCTTTTCAACGAACTAATTAACACATACAAGGGCAACTAAACAAAGAATCTAAAGATGAAAACAAAACAAAAACAACAACAACAAACGGCAACAACCTATACAATAACACTAACTTCATGTACATTAATATGGATTCCTAAAACAATAAGCAAAGCAAAGAAAGAAAGAAAGAAATCTAAACCTATAATAGTTAAGTATAAACCTATTTAAAAACAAAATAAACAACAAACTATTTATATACTCTAATGTCGAATTCTAATAACTTACAATATACAAAAGATCGAATGAAACCATACACCCATGCCACGCCTCCTACCAAGTAACGTATCTATTACCAAACTACAAACAGAAAACACAGCCATTTTATGTTTAATTTTCTCGAAAAACTGGAAAATTTACCCCTCTCCCCTCAACAAATTATACGAAATACACAAAAAACAACAACGGAAATCCCATTGTTTTGAAAAATCAAAACAAAAAAACCAACTCTTTTTAGTGATAACAAAAAACAAAACACAACCAATTAAGTGTATTTATACAAAGTATATTAAGCTCAAATGTTAACTCATACACCTCCTCTATATACATATATATATACATATACTACCTTTCTTCCTTCCTTTCATATTTAATTACCCACGATTATTTATTACATAATTACACAAAACAGTTGTTTGGAGAAAACATATTGTAATGGATTTTTTTTTTCTTTTTGAAAATGCATGAATTTAAAATTGGAATATATATATTTTTTAAACCATTATAAACATGTTTTGCATTGAGGCAGGAATGCAATATAACCAAATTTGGTTGTTTTGGCAAGAAATTTAAGATATTTTGAATAATTGAAGAGATCATGATTTGAAGAAGAGTCATTAAGAGTATCCCCAACTAATACAAGAAGTTAACTTCTTTCCTTTTTGGCAATGGAACGCTTGAGGAAGAAACTGCACCTTTTCCCGATGCAATTCAAAACATTTTGATTTTAATTCTTGACATTGGTTCATAGAAACCAAACTGTAACCCTTTACAGCAGACCTTTAAAATGTCAAGTATTTATAAATAAATAATGATTCTTTTTTTTGGAGGATCTACAAAATATTGTCGGTTTAAATACCTCTAGAAGCCTAATCATTTATATACCCCTATAATATTTTTCCTATATAGAAAAATAAATATGGAGTCCTGCCTATAAAGGACATCCACACACATATTTCAGATGTAATTCAAAACATTTCTGTTGGATTCTCCAAGAAATTTTCAAATTTAAATGAGGTGTTTTTAAATATTTTTTTTGATGATATGTTCCGGAAACAGTAAGAATCTAATCTTAACAGCAGACCTTTAAAATGTCAAGTATTTATAAATAAATAATGATTCGTTTTTTTTTTGGAGGATCTACAAAAATATTGTCGGTTTAAATACCTCTAGAAGCCCAATCATTTATATACCTCTATAATATTTTTTTCATATATAGAAAAATAAATATAGAGCTCTGTCTATAAAGGACATCCACACATATTCAAAACATTTCAGTCCCATTCTCTAACAATTTATCAAATTTAAATGAAGTGTTTTTTAATATTTTGATGATATGTTTCAGAATCTAAGAATGTTACTAAGATAACCGATTTTTTCCTTTATGATACCGTTTGGAATGCTCGAAACACAATTAACATGTTTCGAATAACAAATGCAATTCTGAAATTACAAATGAATGTTTTTGAACTACCATCCATTCAACTCAAGAAGACTTCAAAATGGCATTCTATAAAAGCCCTCTTTAAGTTCTTCTATTCATAGAATCGATTCTCCTACCTATCATTCTGAAATTACAAATGAATGTTTTTGAACTACCATCCAAGGCAAGAAGACTTCAAAATGGCATTCTATCAAAGCCCTCTTAAAGTTCAACTATTCATGGAATCGATTCTCCTACCTACCATTCTGAAATAACAAATTAATGTTTTTGAACTACCATCCATCCAACTCAAGAAGACTTCAAAATGGCATTCTATCAAAGCCCTCTTTAAGTTCGTCTATTCATGGAATCGACTCTCCTACCAAACTCCTACCTACCATAGGTGTCTAGAAGAGCAGCGATTATTTTACTTTTAGAAAACCTCAACCCTAGGGTATATATCATTTGATACGGCCAAAATGTGCCTCATCGAAAAAACTTTTTAGAAACACGGGGTCTCTTTGGACCAAATCCGTTTCCAGACATTTGCAGTCGATCTAGCGATTTCCATCCGTCCATCCGTTTGTTTGTCTGGCTGGGTGATGCAACGATAACTCTCGAAGGGAGTATCCGATTTGATCCAAATTTAGTACATCGTGATATTATTGTCAAACTTAGATCGAGTTTGGAGATGGGCAATATCGGTCCACTTCTTAGGGCACCTCCCCCACAAAAGCTCAAAATTTTCAAAGGAAATAATTTTTTGCATAGGAAGAGAAAGGATAATCCGATTTTTTTCAAACTTTGCATATGCAAATGACACACATCACAATCTATTTACCCAAGGTCTGGTGTGAAGATGGAATATATCGGTCCACTCCTTGTGGTACCTCCCCACAAAGGGTCACAATTTTGAGTAACCATGAAGCTCATAAAACGCGAAACTAACATTCGATTTCATTCAGACTCAATATTTCCATCAACACAAGGTCTGTTAGAAAGATGGTGGAGATCGGACAATTCCTTCTGGTACCTCCCCCACAAAGGGGCAAAATTTTGAATTATAAAAACGAACATAAAATCCGAAATAAGCATCCGATTCTCTTCAAATTGCACACATCACTATACTTTTTGTTAAGCCAAGGTCTGGTGTGAAGATGGAATATATCGGTCCATTCCGTCTGGTACCTCACCCACAAAGGGTCCAAATTTTGAATATTCATGAAGCTCTGAAAACTCGAAATTAGTCTCCGACTTCATTCAGACTTGTCACATCTCAATATTTCCATCAATACAAGGTCTGTTAGAAAGATGGTGGAGATCGGACAATTCCTTCTGGTACCTCCCCCACAAAGGGGCAAAATTTTGAATTATAAAAACGAACATAAAATCCGAAATAAGCATCCGATTCTCTTCAAATTGCACACATCACTATACTTTTTGTTAAGCCAAGGTCTGGTGTGAAGATGGAATATATCGGTCCACTCCTTCTAGTACCTCCCCCACAAAGGATCAAAATTTTGAATATTCATGAAGCTCTGAAAACTCGAAATTCATTTCCGACTTCACTTAGACTTGGCACATCTTAATATTTCCATCAACACAAGATCTGTTTTAAAGATGGTGGAGATCGGACCATTCCTTCAGGTACCTCCCCCACAAAGGGGTCAACATTTTAAATAAACAAAACGATTATAAAATTCGTAATAAGCATCCGATTCTCTTCAAATTGCACACACCGCAATATTGTTATTAACTCAAGGTCTGGTGTGAAGATGAAATATATCGGTCCACTCCTTCTGGTACATCCTCCACAAAGGGTCACAATTTTGAATATTCACGAAGCTTATAAAACACGAAATAAATCTCCGCCTTCATTCAGACTTGTCACATCCCATTATTTCAATCAACACAAGATCTGTTATAAAGATGGTAGAGATCGGATCACTCGTTCTGGTACCTCCCCCACAAAAGGGTCAAAACTCTGAAAACACGAAATTAAGCTCAGCTGCTTGTAAATAATCCAATGATGATATTCCAATCAATGGCGACATTTTTTTTCTACCTACAAACTGCATCAAGCACGCCTATTGAAGGATAGACTAATTCTGCACAAATCCCATAGAAGCTCGTTTATCAAGAACGTACCTCATGAAAAGCTTCTGATTATATGGAGCTACAGTTCTTCCTGATTGTAGGAGAGACCGCTGTTGGAAGACTTTTTTAACAAATCGATGGGGATTTTATGAAAACGTCGAATTTGAATGAAATTCGAAACAAATGTTGGCTTTGGCATTACCTAATGCCTCAGAAGGTCTAAACGTATTTGCCCGAAGAATTATGCATTTTACACCTTTATCTTTGGGGATATTTGAAATTCCTATATCTTCCCTTCCCCTACGTTTTGGACATTTTATAGTTTTAATAACTAAAACTAAAAAAAATTTCCGAATTAAATCTTAAATGTTTTGATTGAATTATATTGCTGATCCTTCATTCGATTTTCTTTCGAATCTACACAACAAATTCTATAAAAAAGGTCCTCTAATAGGTCTTCTATGTAGAGAAACACTTCTTGATATCTTCTAAGATAGAAAAGTTGCCAGAAACAATGCTAGAGTCTCGATACATTTTTAAATCGTTTATCTGTAATGAAGTATTTCGAGGAGAAAACTTTTAAACGCCTGTTGTAATGGCTTGAGGGTTTCTTGGGTGGAATTTAAAAAGACCTTAAAGTAAATAAGTCTCAAATTTATGATTTCATGGTGATGTGTTGTAAATATTTGAACTTATTTTTACCTCAAAATAATCTCCTGCCTCCATTTTGCAAATTATTGATCTGTTCCAGAACTGCAAGAATGTAAAAGTTTTTACGACGATAACCGATTTTTCCTTTATGCTATCGAAAAAAATTGGAAAAAATAGTAGATTCTTGCAAGTTCTATAATTTTATATAAAAAATTCAATACAAAACCCATTTCAATACAATATGTTTCCTTCAAACACTGAAGTAAAAGAAAAATCTAAAAATTTAAAACACTCAATTTTCATACTCACCGCAACACACTTATTACCTTTTCCACAACAGCCAATACACATCTTTAACTTATGCTCATTTTTTCCCCACATTTTATTTAAATTATTTATAAAAGGTATTACATCCGGCAGCACCTTGTCACCCAACCCACACTTAATTTTATTTTTATAGCTTCAATTTCATTTTTCTTTATTTAATTCTACACCAAGGCATTTATGCACACTCAAATACGTATACTTAATAAACAAATGTGTTTTCAACAACAACAAAAAAAATGGACTGATGAAATTGTGGAAAATTAAAAATTAACAGCCTGTTCCACGATCTCGAAAGAAAATTTGTGCGAACGAAGGCTACTCACTCACTTTCGTATAAGAATGCGTTCCACTAACTTTCGTTCTTTTTTTCGCATAGCTTTACGTGATTCAGTGTTGCTAAATATTTTTTGGAAAAATTAATAGCGAAATAAGGCAAAAAAAGCGCCAAATGTCTAACTTAAACGCGAAAAAGCAACAGTGGCTCTGTCTCAACTGACAGTTCAGTTGTAAACAAACAAATTGTAATTGTAAATAAACAAACAAAATAAAATTTCTAGTGATTGGGTTCAAACTATTTGTGTTCTTAAAAAATAAAAAAATGAATATTTCCGTAGCCCTATTTTTTATGGATGATGTGTGTGGCACTCCCCTGTCGAACTCAGATAGCCTCCATATACTCAACTAGTGCCCGCAGCTGTGTAGTTGATGATTTTTTCGTGCTGGAATTGAGAAAATAAAAAAAATATTTATTTGTTGTTCACATATTAAATTGCATTTATTATTTTTACTTACATTTTTGTTCCCATTTTCAATCAAGCAATGCTTATGTTAAAACAATTTTTCTTAATTATTATCATACGACAGCAAAGACACAAGTGACTGATTTTGACATTTGTGTTCGCATGCGAACGAAAGAAAAAAGATAGTGGAACGCAAAATTACACTGAAACGCTTACGTTTTCGTTCGCTTTGATTTTCGTGCAAATGTTCGTTCTGATGGATTTTAGTGGAACGGAAATCAGCTGTTTGTCGTGTAAAAGTTGTGCGAACGTGTTCTTTCGATATCGTGGAACAGGCTGTAATTGAGATTTTGATACTACGGCAAATCTGGTAACTCTGGTATGTTATATAGCTTAACCTATACATACATAAACACATACAACCCACGTATATTAAAAACCACAAACAATTTCACTTCCTCTTAAATTTTGTTTATTTTTTTTTTTTTTTTGTATTTTCAACGTTAATTTAATAATATTTTTTGTTAATATGTTTATGATTTTCACAAAAGCGTTTTTTCTACTTAAAAAACCCACAACAGCTCTAGGCAATAAGTCGATTACAATGTTAATTATAGTTAAGTTTAATTTTTCCCCCAAAACATAAACAAAAGAACAACAACCGTAGATGCAAAAACAAATAAACAAAAGCATTATAAATAATAATAATTATTATTCAAATTTAATTCATAATTAAATAATATTTATGAAATATAAATCGAAAAAAAAAACTTTGTCGTAATTTATATTTTTTTTTTATTTTTTTTTATTATTTACTCTAAATAACACTTTAAGTGATTTGCGTATTTTTTTAAATGAGAAAAAAAGATATCCCTAAATAAAAATAAATTACAAAACGATTGTTTTAATATCTCTTGGCTAAAATTAAAAAAAAAAATGATGCAAATCCTATGGTAGGTATAACTACAATGGGAGGACGCCACGAAATCTACGGCCACACTCTTTATTACGTAGTCTGCGGCGATTGGAACACAGCTGATTGTGCAGGTCGAGGGAAATTTTATACCGACCACGAACTACCCCCAGATTCTAGTGGTCACATTCAAAAGCATGTTCAAGTCGTCCGCGCAAGGAAACATTGTTGGGACAAAATAACTCCACCACGCTCTGGAACAGCCCGAGTTCACGGATTGTCAACTCAGAGTCAACTGCTGTGCAAACCAAAATCCATCAGTACGGAACTTGAACAAAACAAGTTGTGTTATAGAAGAGCGTTGCTGGCATAGCAGAATGATGTCCTCAGACGTTTTTATGTCACACTTCATCAATAACAAGTTAAAAAGCAGTAAGTTCGGCCGGGCCACCACCCACCATTTGGAACAAATTTAGAAATTTTCAAAAATAAAATCCTTAAAAAATTCTGTTAAAAATACCGAATATAGCGGTTATATTGGGGTCTATACGACGTGAACCTACATAGGCATGGTTTGTCATAAGCCATACCATATTCAAATTCGAAACTTGAAATAAATGGTGAATAATGTAGCTAAAACCATTCAAATATCGTATATGGGTAGGTAACGTTATATCGGAGCTGTGCGAAGACCTGGACCAGCATAGGCAATTTTCTGTCACAGGCTGTAGCATCCATTATGAACTTCATATACGACATCTCAAACAATTCCGGTGGGTATTGTACCTAAAATCGTCAAAATACCGAATATAGGGAGGTATTGATATATGGGACCTATACGAAGACCTGGATCTGCATAGACAATTTTCTGTCACAGACTGTAGTTCCCATTACGATCTCTAAATACGTAATTTCAAACAATTCCGGTGAATAATGACGCTAAAATCATCAAAATACGAAGACGTGGAATTGCACACACAATTTTCTGTCATAGGCTGTAGTATCATTTCGAACTTCAAATACCAAATTTGAAACAATTCCGGTTAATAATGTCGCTAACATCATCAAAATACCGAATATAGGAAAGTACAGTTATATGGAGGCTATACCAAAACGTGGACCTACATGGCCCATTTTCAATACCAAAAGTCCTGCAGACATACTACATTTGAGTAAAATTTTATCGACCTACTTCATTTCGTTCGGAAGGTAGCGTGACGGACGGACGTCGCTAAATCGATATAGAATTTTACGCTAATCAAGAATATATACTTTGTGGGGTCTAAAATGTATATTTCGAGGTGTTACAAACGGAATCAAAAATACTCTCTATACTATTGGGGCCTTAATATGTTTTTAAATACAAATATGTGTTTAAATACAAATTTCTACAAATATCTTTTCTTATCAGTTTTTTAAATAAAAACCATGGTAGAAGAATACAGGTAGTCGCTTCGAAACAGCTGCTGGGACAATGAACTGTCAAACCGATTTTGGAATTAAAAATGTTGAATGAAAAATTATTAAATTTTGTAAAAATTGTTGAGAAATGCATATTGTAACCACTTCCGATTTGCATCGTATAAGAAAATATATAAAAATCTACTTATTTTTGACAAAACAATTTTAAAATTTTGACATTTCAATGTTCGCAAGCGATGATGCATCTCCCTATATTCTTCTACCATGATAAAAACATTAAATACCTCATAAAACTTGCGTGAAAAGTCATAAAGTAAAAATATATCAAATTCCAACAAATCCCTCTCTTGTGTAAACACAACGATTAAGCCGATAATCGATAACTCTCTCTCTCGCACTATCGCCATACATCCAAATATCGATTTACAACCACTTTCGTGTGGCGACCACCACTAGTTGTCAAACAGAAAAATGGATCTGTTGTCAAGAAGAAATATGTTGTTGCTCCGGTCTTTTCTCTTGATTTTACCATTATTGGTAATAAAAGCCAGTGGACAGGCGAATACCAATGTGAATCCTGGCCAGGTTGGTGTCCATAGGAGATTCGAATATAAGTATTCCTTCAAGCCTCCATACTTGGCACAAAAAGATGGAACAGTACCATTCTGGGAATATGGTGGAAGTAAGTAGTACAACAACAACAAAAACAAGAATACAGTGGCAGCTAAGTAGCAAAGGCAAGAGTTAGCATTTGACAAAAACACCAGCAAGCACACGTCAGTCGTCGTCGTCGTAGTCAGTGAAAATAAAACAAGTGCCATCTCACACACAACATTGGGGCGCGCATATGAAACAATGTGCACAAAAGAGATGGAAGACATAGACCAAATGTTGACAGAGTGGCAAAAGCCAGCAGTCAGCAGCTATCCGGTAATTCATATCTCTAAATGGCCACGCAAACAAATTCTTCCTTTTGACCAATGCTACTGGCTGAATGAAAACGATGAATGGGAAATTGTTGATGAATGAAATTTATGCCAATTTCTTTTCCAGATGCAATTGCCAGCTCAGAAATGGTCCGTGTGGCCCCCTCTTTGCGTTCACAGAAGGGTGCCATCTGGACAAAGAATCAATTGAATTTCGACTGGTGGGAAGTTGAAATTGTGTTCCGGGTGAATGGACGTGGTCGCATTGGAGCCGATGGTTTGGCCTTTTGGTATACCACACAAAAGGGTGATTACAATGGTAAGGGTTTCACATCTTTTTTAAAAAGTAAATGAGTTAGATTTGATGTGAGTGTTGTTATAGGTCCTGTATTTGGTTCCTCGGATCGTTGGAATGGTCTGGGTATTTTCTTCGATTCCTTTGACAATGACAATAAACACAACAATCCCTACATTATGGCTGTGTTGAATGATGGCACGAAGCAATTCGATCATGCCAATGATGGTACCACACAACTGTTGTCCGGTTGCTTACGTGACTTCCGTAACAAACCCTTCCCTACACGTGCCCGCATCGAATACTATAATAATGTCTTGACCGTACTCTTCCACAATGGCATGACAAACAATAATGACGATTATGAGATGTGTTTGCGCGCCGATGGTGTCCAGCTGCCCAAAAATGGTTACTTTGGTTTATCTGCAGCAACTGGTGGTTTGGCCGATGATCATGATGTTTATCATTTCTTGACGACGTCATTGCATCCAGCCGGTCAAATTGTTGAAAACAAAGTGCCACAAGATAATGAAAAGCTCTCACAGGAATACAAGGAATATCAGGAGAAATTGGAAAAACAAAAGCAGGAGTACAAAAAGGACCATCCTGATGAGGTGAGTAAGAGGGGAATTGTGAATGTTTGTTTTTATTTTAGGATTGAAAAAATGGTTTGGAGAAATTTGACACGTCAATGTACCCTCATCAGGTTCTATAGAAAAATCTGGAACTTCAATGAAGAACTGTTATAAAAGCCTACTAGTAGACCATATAATCCACAGAATCTTTTTGTGAGTTCTTTTGAACAAGCCTTTCTAGTTATCCCTCTATTCTATTGAAGCCCATCTAGTGGCATTTTATTTCATAAGAACCTTTCCAGGACGCCGCGTTTTACGAAATATCCTTTTGGAAGCCCTTGTAAGTGTTCTTCTGTTTTATAGAAGCCCTCCTAGGTTGCTTTCGTTCTGTAGATGCCTTTCTAGTTGAATTTTGGTTTTTTTATAAGCCCTCCTTGTCGACCTTCTCTCCCATAGGGGCCCTTCTATGCGACCTTATCTTCTAAATAAGCTCTTCTAATCGGTCTAATGTTCTGTAGAAGCTCTTCCAGGAGGCCTTATCCCCTCCTTCTAAGTGGTCTTCTGTTCTATAGAAGCCCTTCTAGGCGGCCTTTTGTAATGTAGATGCTCTCCTACTTGGCCTTCTGTCCTGTAGAGGTCTTTCATTCAAACTTTTTGTCGGAAGTTCTTTTAGGTAATATTTTTTCTATAGAGCCCTGCAAGAAGGCCTTCGGTTCTATGGAAGCCCTTCTCCCTTCTTCTCTTCTAATGTTCTGTAAAAGGCCTTTTAGGATTCCTAATGTTCTATGGAAGCCCTTCTAAGTGGGTTTCTGTTCTATAAAAGCCCTTCTAGGCTGCCTTCTGTTTTGTGGATATCCTCCTAGGTGGTCTTCTGTCCTGCAAAGGTCTACCGATTTGACCTTTTTGTCAGAAGAAGCTCTTTTAGGCAGTATTTTTTTCTGTGGTGCCCTGCGTCTGTTCTATGGAAGCCCTTCTAAGTGGTATTCTATTTTATAGAAACCCTTATAGCCATAGAAGCCCTTCTTGGCGGAATTTTACTCCATAGAAGCCCTTCTTGGCGACCTTCTATCCCACAGAAGTCTTTAAAGGGGACTTCCATTTTATAGAAGCCCTTTGAGACCGACTTCTATTGCAGCCCCTTTAAGCTACCTTCTATTCCATAGAAGTCCTTTAAAGCGGACTTCCATTTTAAAGAAGCCTTACTAGAACGACTTTTGTTCTTTTAGGCGGTCTGTTGTTTTTGTAACCCCTTCTAAGTGGACCTTATTTTTTATGAGAGCCTCTTTTGGTGGTTTACTTTTTTATAGAAGTCCTTCTACTACTATAGAAGCCCTTCAAGGCGGCCTTCCTTTCTATAACAGCTCTTGTAGAAAATCTTCTATTTCAGCTATTTTACAAGGAACCATTTTCTTTACATTCCTATTTTTGAGGCATTCCATTCCAAAGAAGCCTTATTTTTCCTTTTTATCTAGGCCTTCCTTCCTCTACGGTCAATCCCACCAAAAACGTTTTTTTTTTCTGAAAAATTCGTTCAAGTTCCGAAAACATTATTTATTGACTTTTATAACATTGTTTTTTTTTTTCTTCTCTCCCTTTCCAGAAAGAAGAAGAAGAATGGGATGAATTCTACGAATCGGAAAATCAACGTGAATTACGACAAATTTGGCAAGGCCAGAGTCAAATCTTTGAACACATCCGTGAATTGTCGAGAAAAATGGATGAAGTTATTGGTCGGCAAGAGAATACCTTATCGTTGGTATCTCGAGGATTGGGTGCCGCCGCTGGTGGTGTCGTACAACAGCCACCTGCAGCTGGTGGTGCTGCTCAACAACCTCCTATGGTTGGTGTTGGTGGTAGCATTTCACGTGCCGAAATCGATCTGATGGTTGCCAATCAAAATAATCTTTTGGCCACAGCACGTGAACTTCGTTCGTTGATTGGTGATATTCATGCCAGAACCGATTCAATTCTTCAACAGCAACAACGAGCTCCCAGCGGACAGGTGCAATCGGCCGGCTATGATGTCCAGGCGATTATCAATGAAATGCGCGATGGCATGAATCAGGTGAAACAGGGCATAACACACGTGGGACAAAAGTGAGTATAGAAACAGATTATTTATTTATTTTTAAAAATATAATTATTTATAAATTTCATGAAGAAGAAATTCTATTCATCAATCAATTGTCTCCATTCATTACGACTAGAAAAATCTCATTACGAAATTTGATTTATGAAATTATCACTCACATGTTAAGTGGAACTTCCCGAATATTTGTTGTTTCTCATGGCGTCGTTTAAAGATAATTGACGATGATAAGAGCCCGTCCAATATCAATACAAATTTCAAGAGTTGATTGATGCTAGTTTTCACATTGCTTATTTAGTTGAAAACATGGAGATATAACCTTTAAGAAGTCTTAGTTTCAAATATCACAATTTTGCTGGAACTAACCCCAAATATATGGTCAATTTTGGAAGGATTCAAGATTTTAAAATTTCAAATGTCATCAATTTTGCATTAAACAATACATTTCAAAGAAGGAAAAGTCTTTTTCGGCACTTCCCCCCTAAGGGTACATATTTTGAAAATTCCCAGTGGGAAATGAAGCTCTGATTTCGTGAAATTCCCACAAAATTGTTATTAGGTTTGAGTTTAGACCACTTCGGCTCACAATTTCTAGAACCTTCCCCTCACATTGTGTCAGCATTTTATACAACATTAAATCTAAATCAAAGCGAAAAAGAGATAACTCGATTTGATCTAAATATTATATTTTTATACCCTACACCCCACAGTTTATGTCTTTGTGCATTTGTTTGTGACATGGAGAAGGAAGCTAGATAGACCCATAGTTACTTTGGAAGATCTAAATGGAATCACTTTTTGAGTCGATTTATGCATGCCACTCCGTCCGTCCGTCTATCCATGTTTTTTGTGAACAAAATACAGGTCACAAGGTGAAATGAAATTTGCCAAACAATATTAGTTTGGCCCAAGGTCAAATCCTATTAAAATTGGTGATAATCGGATGAGATTTCGGATTAATTTTGCACCAAATGGCCAATATCCCCTGAATTTTGGCACATCCGTCCGAATTAAGTCTAGAAGCAAGTACATCAAATTTAGAGAAAATCGGTTCAGATATAGCTATAGCTCTCACATATATGTTTCATCCGATTTGTTGTTGAAGTCCCTCAAATTCGTAATATGCTTTCGACAACAATGATATTTGCTACCAGATATCAGATACAGCCCATAAATACCTCGGCCAAATTTTATCAAGATCGGTTCAAATTTAGATAAAGCTCCCATATATATATTCAACCGATTTGGGGTTAAGTGTGCACCAAATGGCCAATATCAGTCCAAATCACCTAACATTTGGCACATCCAACCGAATTCAGTCTAGAAGCAAATATATCCAATTTGGTGAAAATCGGTTTAGTTATAGCTATAGCTCCCATATACAGGTTGGGATAAAAAAATTGCAAAAACTCAAACGTCATAATTTATACATTTTTTTAAATTTTACTGAATGAAAGCAAAAAATGTCGGGAATAGCATCAAATTTTAGAATAAGTTTAGATTTGTTCGAATTGGGTACCTTTGACACGAATTATGGCCTTTCAACGGCCAATTAAACCGTCACACGCTGCCCGAATGTTGCTCTGCGGTATTTTCGCCCATTCCCGACGAAGCACTTGCCTGAGGTTATCGACACTTTGGTATTTTTAGTGCCACCTTGCTTTCCAAAATGTTTGCGTGCCCAAGGCTTTATACACCCTCCAGAATATTTTCGCGATAATATTCGATATTTATTCTGAAGCCACGATCGATTAATACCAGCGGAGAGCGACCATCGGCTGTTATGGCGGCCATCATTATGGACGGCTTGAGGCTTGAGTTCTGGTGGCACATTTTCAGCTGACCTCTTTGGCAAGTTAACACGATCATTTTGTTTATTTACAAACTGTTGGACAACGTTAGGTTAGGTTAAAGGATGCGCGGTTGTATAAACAACCACTCCACTCGGAGACCTTTTGGTCCATTGCTGCTGGACAACGAATGTTTTCTCATCGGAGAAAAGCAAATTCGGCAGTTCACCACTTTCTGCCAAGCGAAGCAACTCTTTAGCTCTTTCGAGATTTATTCACATTCAAATGCTAGAGTGCTCTAAGGATAACCACTTGTGGTTTTCCGGCCAAATATAAAGAAATCGCACTATCACGCTTGAATTGCATCACGAATAACTTTTTTTTCTGAAAATTCTCACCAAAATGCTTTTGTACGCTTGTAAACAATATAATGAGCTGTCACTGGAATAATTTTAACAGCTGTCGGACGAGTGGTTTAAAAATGACAGCAGTCTGAAGGTGGTTGCAGTTTTTTCATCTCACCCTGTATATCCTATATTCTAATAAATTATTCTGTTACGGGAGTTCTACTAAATATGCCTAGTGGGGTAGGGTATCATATAGTCGCCCCGCCGACTTTTGACTTTTCCTTACTGGTTTTATTCTTTTTTATTATATTCTCTTCATTTTATTCTATTCTAAAAAAACCATCTCACTTTTTTTCCTGCCTTACAGATTGGGTGCCTCACCACAGGCTCAAACAGCTTGCCCCACCGGCAACTGTGTAGGTGTTACATTGTTCCTTAGTGTTACGGCTGTACAGCTACTTTTAGTCTTCCTTTATACTATTTTCAAGTAAGTAGATACCAGTATTTTATTTAAATAAAACTTTAAACGAATTAATTTTTTCCCTTCCATTTTTCAGGAGCAGAAGTGAAGCCCAAGCTAAAAAATTCTATTAGGACTATAAAATAAATGTTGCTAAGAAAAAGGACGTAGACGAAGAAGAAGAATGAATTAAACAATATGTTATATTAATGATTAAATAGGCAAGACAGGCAGACAGACAACCAACCAAGCAGTTGGCTAATCGTTAATATGTAATATTGCTTTTCAAGATGATGATTGTTTTCCATTGGCGTTTCTCTACAAAACTTTTGTCTTCGTTTTTTGTTTTTTTTTATTTCGTATAACTGAAACATTGCTCAGAGGGAAAAGAGGGAAAACAAAATACCAAATATTCATATCATTCTGTTGGTTTTGTTTTCTGGTTTCTTTTTCGTACGTATACCAATCGACCACAAAATAGACTGATTAGTCTCTACAAGTTTTGTAAAAAAAAAATGAAAAGAAAATAGCTGTCAAAACACATTTGCCAACAAGACATTTGTAAAACAAAAAACAACTTCTTTGTGTTTTTATTTTTTCTACTTTCAATCCCGCCCAATTTAGAATCAAACTCCCCATGAACACATCTAGCAACCACATTAATTGTTGTTTTTTATACTATTTTTTATAATTTTATTTTTAGTAGACCCTCTTTTTTTAGTTTTAAATCGATCTATTGCCCCGCCCTTCGTTCCCCACAGTTCTAGACTGGAGTTGTTGCAATTGATTTTTTTAGTTTATTTTTTTCGTTTTTATTTCCCTTTTAAGCTAAGTAGCGCCTCTCTCTCTATTCTAATTGATATTAACTAATTTGAAAATTATGTTTTCCAATTTGTAACAAACTGACCACACATTCCAGTCTGCAAGAAAAAAAGTTTATATATTTTGATAAATTTTCTTACATCGTTTTTCTAAAAACAATTTTTTTTCGTTTTTTTTTCCACTTCTAAGATTTGTAATTTTCATCTTTTTTACAATGATAAATAAAACAAACAAAATATTTTAAAATAATTTTTCGAGTTTAATTTTGTTTTTTTAAGGTATTGATGATTTTAATGTTTGCAATCCCACTATCAAGTGTGGACCTACACAGACAATTTTCTGTCTAAGGCTATAGTATCCATTACGAACTTCAAATACCAAAATTGAAACAATTACGGTGGATAATGTCGTTAAAATCATCAAAATAACGAATATCGGGAGGTGCGGTTATATGGGAGCTATACGAAGACGTCGACCGGCACAGACAATTTTCTGTCATAGGCTGTAGTATACATTAAGAACTTCAAATACAAAATTTGAAACATTTTCGGTGAATAATGTCGATAAAATCAACACAAAACCGAATTTTGAAACGTCCTTCAAATGAGAAAAACGTTGTAAATAATTTTGCAAGGTTTGCTTACCCATCCGCTTTTGGCACATTAAACATAGAAGACATTCAACTTAGGTCTAGCTTTGGCGAATTCAGTTTGCACACCTTACATTTATTGGTATATTTTCCAAATTGTGTGGGCTTTAAGCATTTTTCTTTTAAATTTTAAAAACCAAACGAAAAATAAATTAAGAGAAAGAAACAGACGGCCTTGGGTGACAGGTTATGTTGTTATATACTACATACTTATGTGAATCTGGCAACACCTATGAGCAATTATTATTTGCGCATGGCAATACTGTTACTAGCGAGGAAACAATTTAAACAAAGTTCAACCGAGTTAAACGAACGACAAATGTTTGATATTTTTGTAAAGTTATTAAAAATTATTGCATTATTAAGTTATGTGTATTAATGGTTGAATTGTTTTTTGTTGTTATATGTTTAAAAAATGGTATTCTGCCTTTAGACGCAAATTTAAACCTCGAACAAAGGAAACAAGTAAGAAGATGAGAGGAGACGTTATCTTCTCACATTTGTATGTCTGGCAACATCTATGAACTTTTACTTTTAATACTTGGCAATACTATTTTTGGACGAGGCAAAATGTAAACAAAGCTCAACTGAGTAATGCAAATAAGAAAATTGGTGAAGTTTGTGATATTTTTGGCAATTAATTGCAAATTATTGAAATTATAACTTTATTTATGTGTGCATATTACTGGTTGAAGTATTTATGTTATAAAAGTTTATATAAATTATAAAAAAAGTGCAGAATATGTTGTTTAAATGAAATGTGCTGTCTCACAATCAATCACCGAGGGAAGACATTAACGTTCAAATGGATGATTTTGTTTTCACGTAAGTAATTACAAAATTGTTAACATTTCCAAAACTTAACAACTTTATATTTATAAAATAAAAAGATTAGCAATTAACATTCCAAAAGGCGATGTAAAGAGTGCTCTTTGTGCTATTGATATTGGGCGATCGGGTTTTGTTAGCCACATGACTACAGATACCTTTGATACGGCCAAAACGTACCTTATCTAAATAAAGTTTTTGGACCCTATGCCTCTTTGGACGATATTCGTTTTAGGACATTTGTGTGCTGTTTGGCTTGTATGTGCACGATAACTCAACCAGGAAGTATACGATTTCGTCCAAATTTGGTACATCGTAAGATTATTAAGTTTGGAGCTGGGAAATATCGGTCCACTCCATCTGGTACCTTCCCAACAAAAAGTCATAGTAAGTCATAAAACTAGTTTACCTCATAGAACTGAAAACAATCATCCGATTTTCTTCCAACTTTGAAAATCCTCACAATTCTATCTACGTCAGGAGGGAAAATTGACAATATTGATCCACTCCATCAAATGCTTCTACCAGAAACGGTAAATAATTTAAATAATTATAACTCTTTTAAAATGTGGAATGGAAGTCCAAAATAAACACCCCATTCTTTTCAAATTTCACACAACCCGATTTTTGTACCAACACAAGATCTGGCATGAAAATGCCAAATATCGGCTGAAGCTAGAATCTAGAAATATTGCACTACAGAGGGTACATTTCATTTGATACGGCCAAAACGTGCCTGATTGGAATAAGGGGTTTAAACCCTAGGTCCCTTCGGACAAAATCCGTTTCAGGATATTTAGAATCAATCCAGGGATGTCCGTCCATCCGTTCGTCTCTCTCTATCTGGCAGGCTCTCGAAGGGAGTATCCGATTTGGTCCAAACTTGGTACATCGTGATATTATTATCAAACTAAGATCGAATTCGGAGATGGGTAATATCGGTCAATGCCTCCTGGTATCTCCCCCACAAAAGGTTAACATTTTCACAGAAAATAATTTACCTCTCACAACAACATAACGTCATCCGATTTTGTGCAAATTTTGCAAATACAAATATTTACACCAGTCCTAATTTGGTACGAAAATTGCCAGTATCGTTAAACTCCATTAAATACCTTCACCACAAAGGGTCACAATTTTGACCAATCATAACTCTTATAAAATGTAAAATAAGAGAAAATGTTAAAGAGAGACCGATCCATATGAAATTTTGCAAAAATCATTTGTTTGGCCCAAGGACGAACCCTATTGAAATTGGAGATATTCGGTAAAAATTTAGATATAGCTCCCATATATATCTTCATCCGATTTGCCTTTTATTGTACACCAAATGTGTTATATCAGCCCGAATAGTATGGAATTTTGCACATACAACCGAATTAGGCCTGAAAATAAGTATACCAAATTTGATCAAAATCGGTTCAGATATAACTATAGCTCCAATATATATTATTCATCCGATTTGTTATTTTAGTCCTCCGCAGCCGTAATATGCACTCTGTAACAACAATATTTGGGGAAATATATCAAATACAGCTCAACTTTGCTAAATTTTATCGATATCGGTTCGTATTTGGATATATCTCCCATATATAACTTCGTCCAATTTACTTTTTTTTTTTGCACTAAACGTCTAATATTTGCCCAAATGGGATCTTTGCCAAATTTTATCGAGAACGGTTAAGATTTGGATATAGCTCCCATATATATCAAATGGGCAATACAAGTCCGAATTTTTGAACTTTAAATTATAATTATAATCATAGCGTGTATGATTGAATTCTCCCATAAAAACTTTTAATTGTTATGTGGAGCTCTACTAAATTTGCAAAGTGGTGTAGGGTATCATAAGGTCGGCCCTGCCCGTCTTTAAGACTTTCCTTACTGGTTATTTCTGTTGCTTGTCAGGATAGTGGGTAAAAAGATTGGCTGGATTTTATCAGCCCTTACCCGTTTTAAAAATGTCTGTTTTTAGCTTTCTATAACATGAACGCCTTTGAAATTATTTTATTGTGATTCATATCTACGGGCTTTCAGGTAGATCCTTACATCTGTACATTCAAATTTTGAAAAAGTTTGCTTCGCCCCATCAAAATATTTACGTTTCTTTGGTATTTAAGAGCCTCAATGAAACTATATTGTCCATAGTTTCATTGAGGCTCTTAAAAAAATCCTCATTAAAATCCAAATTTATTGTAGATTTTTTAAAAGTGGCAGTGACTGTCTCCCCGATTCTATATTGAGTCTACAATAATTCTAGTAGACTCAATATAGAATCGGGGAGACAGTCACTGCCCACTCCACATGATTCCAATAGGAGCAATGTCAGCAATTTTTTCCAATCTATTACTATATTTTAATAAAAAATCAGAATTTTTTATATTTCACAATGTGGTTCCGTTGTTATATAAATTCACATATATTTATGGCCATATAAATATGTGTATGTTGTTGGTATATAAATAAATAAAAAACGTTCATGACTCCCTCTTAAATAAACAAACATATAAATGACTGTGGTAGCAAAATATATGAGGCCATATATATATGACTCGGTTTTAATATTCTTTTTTGTTTTTCATGTCACCAGCCACAATTTATTGGACAAAATGGAGCCACATAGAAAAAATAGGGATAGATTTCTGCTTCGAATCATTTTCCTCATTCTACATACATAGTTACTTGGGGTTATGTAAACCGTTTTTAAATTGTTTTTGGCCAATCGGCAACAATGCCCTCATGCGCAGGACGTTTCTATTGCTTTACAAGGTTTTCCCTTTGAACCACGTTTGCATTGAGTGAAATCCATATCACCCCTTAATTGTGGTAGACAGACGGTAGCCAATCAGCGTTTAGCAATTCATTTAGTCCAACTTTGAGTGACATTTTTGCAATATTTTACTCGATTTTTATCGGCTACCTTGTTGGCAAATAGTAGCCTGCCATTGATTCTAGTATAGGAATTATTCAAAATAATAAAATTTTTAATATAAAAAACAATTAATAATTTTATTGTAAAATTTGAAATTGTGTTAATAAATTGTTTTTGAATTTCAGGTGAGTTCTACTTTTATACAAATCAAGTATTGTACAGGTGCTATATAGTTAAATTAGTAAACCAGTGATATTATTAAAAAAAAAAACCTGAATTTATTTACAAAATTTTAAAAATGAAAATCTGTTAAAAAGCACTGCTTTATTTTAACAATTTTTTGGGTTTCGAAACCTAAAAATTTTAAAGATACCATGTGTCTATGACCTTTAAATAAGCGTGAATA